TTTAAAAAATAAAAAAATTAAATTAAATCTACATTAGAAAAAAAAAAGATTTGTGAGTTTTTCAGAGTGAGAGAAATGGATTAAAACACACTCAGATATGAAATACACCCCGGCTAGAAACTCGTCAACGAAGAGATTGGGTTGGTTTATGAGGAAGTGCCCTGTTCCTCTCCCCACCTAGTGTTTTAATTCGTTCCTTGATCTAAAATCTAGATTTGGAGAAAGCATTTTAAAAACAGAAAAGAAAGTGGAAATTGAGAAATCAATGAAAAAGGAAATTTTCTTGCTTTAGAATGTAATGAAAATTGGAGAATAGATTCGAATCGATGTTTTCATCAAAGTCATTGACAGGAGAAAGAAACGAAAGAAGATTGAGAACTGAGAAATTTGGTTATGATAAAAGAGTAAAAAGAAAGATTTTTCAGAGACCAAAAAAAAGAAGAAAATAACACTAACCCTTAGTTAGAGGGGAAGGAAAGAAGATGAAGGGAGAAATATTTTTTTTTGTTGTATTTGAATTATTGATTTCAATAGAGAAGGAGAGATATTTTTTTTGTTGTATTTGAATTATTAATTTTAATAAAGAAGAAGGGAGATGTAACCTCCTTTATTTTTTTGTTTTTTATTTTTGTAAAATGAAAGGATTTGAAAAGATTAGCTATATACATTTATTTTTTTAAAAAATAAATATGTAAATATATTTTATATCAATTATTTTTTTAATTAGTAAATCTTAAAAAAATTTATTTTGTTTTATTTTATTTTTTTAAATATTTAATTAAATAAAAATATTATCTTTCCTTCTCCTTAACTTTTATCTATCCAAATAAATGCTAAAATATGAGAAAATTTGTATTATCTTCTTACCTTTACACGATTTAAAAAATGAAATACCCAACTTCCTGTTTTCTAAAGGCCAATCTAAATGGGCTCACTGTTTTTCATTATTTAGCCCAACTTTATTAAGCCCAACGGCAACAGTGGGCCTCCAAACTGACCTATAAAGCCCCTACAGTCTTCACCAAAAGAAGACTTCAGAAAGGCCGTGCCGGTGTGTTGAGCAACTGCCATCCACGACACTGCAACCACCGCTCACGATTTGCTATTGCAGTGAGCCCAAAACCTCCAACTAACATCACGAGATGACTCCTCACCACAGAATTCAAATTGCTTGCCACTATAATGGCGGAGAGAATTTTCTTAAAAAATGTTATGGATGTGTTTGTTTTCCTAAAAGAAAATAATTGATACAGTTACGGTTGAATATACTTCACAATACATGAAATATTATTATTATTATTATTTTCAATTTCAAATTCAAAGCAAGAAAACTTTTAAAAGATAAATTTTAATAAGTATATTGATAAATATTGATGAAAATATTGAATTGAGAAGTATATCAATTATTTTTTAAAAATTATTTTTTATTTGTTGAATAAATAATTGTATTCTGCCTTTTTTCCTTAGGATTGTTCTAAGAATGGGACTGGCAATGGATAAGATCTCCAAGGAGGAGGAGGTAAATTCCAACTTCCTTTTCTTGGTTTTGATGTCCATTAAATTTTCAAAACTAACATTATTAAATGGATAATGCTATGTATACACTCTTTCTTACACCTCCAGTTACACACATTCACTTTTTGTCACTTTTTCCATCAATCTCTATTATATTTCGTTAACTCCCAAACGGCACCCAATCCAGCCCCAAAACTTGCAATTGCTTCTCACAAAACTTGCAATTTCATCCTCTCATTTTCTCTCTCTCTCTATCCCTCCATCAACACTAGATCTGGACATTTTCCCTTCTAATTTCTCTCTTTTGATAGGTTGTTGCTAGATCATTCACAATTTAAGCAACAAAGTACTAGGGGAAAGCGAATTAGAAGGATATATAGAAGAGATCAGATAGATTTTCAACCTTCTTCCTTCTTTTTCCCCCTCCTCCGTTCTTTTTCTTCTTCTTTCCCTCTCCTTCCCCCTTCTTTCTTCTCTTTCCCCCTCCTTGATCGGGTTCTTGAGAACCTATGGGTTCCCTAGGAGAACCCAGATCAGGTTCTTAAGGAGAACCCAGATTTGGGTTCTCCAGGAGAGAGAGAGAAAAAGAAGAAGAAGAAGGTAATGAGTTTTTATAAATTTTTGTTATAATTTTTATAAATTTTGATAAAATGGAATGTTGTTTGGTTGATAAGAAAATTGGAGGTGGAAAGAAACTTTCCTAGGTAAAATATGTTTGGTTCTTAAAAAAATCTAAGATGATAAGAGAAATTTTTATTGTTGTTGAAAAATTTATATGAATTGGAGAAGAAGATAAACTGGAGTAGAAGATCAA